GTAAATGCTGGGCTCGCTCCAGTGCGGCCATGATTGGTGGTCAGTCAGGGTCAGACTTCCCCTCAGGTGTACCAACCCTGACTGTTCACAACATCCACCTCTAGAGCCGACACAGTAAAAGATTCGGCGAATCTGAGGGTAGTTCCCGAACCAGAATGGGTTGTTTTGGGGGGGTACTTCCTCTGACATTTTACGATTGGACGCCTCCTTGTACGTCTTTATGTGCAACGTGGACATATTCGCCATATTTTCGTCGTAAAAAGCACTCTAGCGCCCAAACAGTGCAAGATAGACTCAAACGGACAAAATTTTCGTCCAAAGGGTTCTATTTTCACAAATTACTCCTTAGAGAACAATAAAAAAATATGTTTTTCCTGCTCTTGGGACCAACCCTTATTTCTTTGTTACCCCCTTTCACCCCCTTAGGGGTGGTTGCCAGGATTTGCACCAGGCGTTTCGTTGTACTTGAGTGACCCGTAAGATACCCTGAAATAAAGCATTCCGGTAAAGCTCAAATGCTGAAGAATGCAAGGAAGGAGAAAACGGAAATCACTATGCTTTTACATGGGACTTCCGTTTTCTTGTTCCCTGCATTCTTCTGCACTGCAGCTTGACCGGCATGCTTTATTTGGAGACCTCTAGCTCATCTTCATCTTACACGAACGACAGACAGACAGACGGACACGAGAGCGGTTGCATAAGCCCGCTTTAATGCTTTTTTAAAAGCAGAAGGGCGGGCTAAAAACAACCTAATAGCATACAGAATATTTTGCGTCGGGCATGAACTGAAACTTGTAAAATTTTCGATCAAAATTATCGCAGAGACTTCATTTTTTTCCCACGAAAACCAGTGGGCACAAATCTTTCAAAAATGTCCAAATTTTAACGGAAAATTTTTAAGCGCCATCCGACTTCTAGTATAATAAACTTGTAATTTTCCGAGTTTCAGCGAAATCGGAGATTTACATCTGAAAAGGTTCCCCTGTTAGTTCTGGGTAGCGCTCCATTAAAATACCCTGTCAGAGCGCAGCATGTCACTTGATCCTCCCTCCACACTGTAAAAATCCTTTGTCGAGATGACGAAAATACCGTGGTTAATTTTTAGTACAGGGGTGTCGTCATGGGTTTTTTCGTCACAAGATAAGGGGGGTTTCTCGTCACGAAAACCCATGCCACCACCCCTGTATTAAAAATAAACCATGGTATTTTCGTCACCGTGACAAAGAATTTTTACAGTGCAGGCTCCCTAGCTCTGTGCTCCCCCCC